CTTGCTATGCATTTTCTTTAATTGTGATATATGTCCACAGCTGGGCCTGTAGGATCTGGGGTGCTGCTAGAGCCTCCCACAAAGCATGTTTGGCTTGTTCTCCTGTCTGGGAGCTTTGGTGGTGGGGGGAGGACTGTGTTAATACACTGAGTTTCTGGAACCTCCGTGGTCAGGGCCTGTTACTGGTGACCAGGAGGGCAGAGGGTTGCCGAGATCCTTGCTATAGGAGCCCCTATAGCTGAGCGCTGAGAGGGATGCACTTCCTCCTGAAGTTGGGTTGTGACTCAGGTCTCTGTCCTCTCCCAAAGAGCTGGCAACCCAGCCTAGAAAAAGGGGTTCTCACCTGGGGTTGCTGACGTTCTCTAAATTAGAGCAAGACCCTTTGAGGCCAAGCTGGGCACTGATTGCTGGGAGGTGCTAGTGTCTGAAAACTTGTGGGATACACTTCTGAGTACAGCAGGGACTCTGTAGTGAATCCTAGATATTGTTTGATGTGGGACTCAGGGCTGAATGCAGCTACTAACATGGACATCATTTGCATATGCATCCACTTGATTGTGCAGGTATACAAAGGTCTAAATTTCTCTATAGTGTTTTGAAATCACTGTAACTCCCTCAAAATACACAAAATTACCTATTTAATCTCATTTGTAAGCCTCAAATGATTTCTGTAACCTTCTTCTATCTGTTTCTAGACCATGCCCAGTTTTCAGAATTTTAGCAAGATCATGGCAAAAGAAATTGGAGACAAAGAAACAAAGTATGTCAAATATGTGGAACATGCCTCCTGTGTGAAACTGTATTCCTTATTAGTGGAGGATAAGCGTAACTCCAGTTTTTGGAAGAAAGAATATAAGCCACTTGATTTTTCCCTCTTGGATATTCTGGAACCAAGTTCTTCACTACCAGGTATTGTCAATCAATCACAGCATAGCAGGCAAGGTTGAAAATCATTGCTGTAAGATAGAGGTGGCACAACTTCCCACCAATTATGAGTTACCCTCAAGGTTTGATCCTAGCATCAGCCTTACCTACAGGCAAAGGACTTGGAGCTCTGACTGTTTGAGAATTTCCCAATTATTAAGCAAGGCATACAATCATTCATTTCATAATTACCACAGCCTCTTGAGCTAGGAATAGTATCCCCATTTTACATAACAGTGAATGAAAGTCTGCAAAAGAATTTGCTCCAGTTACATACTGGGAGTTGGTGGAACTAACGTCCTTACTCAGGTCGTGCTGGCTTCAAATACTAAACACATTCTGCACAGTGTCGGCCTCTGGGGCTGATGCTGCTCCCGTTGCAGAGGAGTGATGGGCTGGGAGGGTGATGCTGCGTGTCTCCTAGACCAGTGCCCAGGTCACATCCCCAGAGATTAACATCAGGTCATTCTTGCCGTTACAGGACCCTTAGGCCGATCAAATACTTCCTCTCAGGGGTAGTTTACACATAAACATTAACTTAATCATCAACTTCTCAAAGGAGACATTGAATGGGTAGGAAGATTTCATTTCCATTCAGTTTTCCATTTGCCCTAGAGTTAATTTTTTTAAAAAGATTTATTTATTTATTTATGCATACAATAGCTGGGGCATTTATGCATACAGAGATGTGGGGGGTGAGAGGATCCACCAGAGACAGAGTGGGGAGCAGAACAGGCCAACTGACTGAAACACACTGCTGAGGGGAGCAGTGGGCAAGACAGGAGAGGTCTGCTGCGCCATGTGGGTTGCTCCCTCGCTGGCTGGGGATCGAACTCATGCTGAAGTGGCTTCGCATTGCTTCATAGTGCCATGCTTAACCCCTTGTGCCACCAGGGAGGCCCTCTAGTGTTAATTTTTGACTCAACCTAAGCCCACCTTTTCTCCTCTAGAGGCTGATGTGGATGGACCATTTGACATTAAGAGCACTAGGCTCACAGGAATGGAGATTGGCATGGCTGTGGAGGCTTTGGCAGAGGCGAATTTTGGGGCAGAAGTTTCTCATTTCCAAGAATCCTCCCTCCGGTATCAGTTTGTTAAAATCTCATCACAGAAATTAGAAGACCTCAGAAAGAGGTGAGGCCATGGGAGAAGCAGGGGATGTGTCCGCAGAGCCCTGGGGTGTGCTCTGCTGTTGGCAAAGAGGCATTTTGCAGGATTTGTTGTTGATAGTCAGAATGAAGATATTGGCATCCCGTGCTGCTTTTTTTTTTTTTTTTTGGATAGTCATTCATTCATTAAACTGACAGTACTTATCCAATATATATTTGATAAAGCAGTAATTACCCAGTACTGTGCAATTTTATGATATTAGACAGGTGAAAATCTGGGTCCTTAACCATATTGCATTCAGTAAGACAGGGAACTTTATAGTGAGTGAGGAAATAGCATTGAAAAAGTAAATAAGCAAAATATTTAATTAAGGGAACAAAGACTTTGAATTTCTTTCTTTAGATAAAATATGCAGCAGTGTGCAGATACTGAATTAACTCTGTGAACGTGGTAACAGACAGATCGGTCTTAACAAGGAAACTTTTAAATCTTTATATTAATTTTAGAGACAGAGATGTCTAGTTAAATAGTATTTCTGTCAATACAAAGAATTATTAAAGGAAAAATCTAGTTAAAGCCTGATTTTCAAGGGCCTCCTGGTGGTGCAACAGTTGAGCACTGGGCTACGAAGCTGTCCGCAGCCTCTGGAGTGCTGGTTTGAACCCCAGCCACTGGCGAGGGTCCCACATGGTGCGACAGACCTCTCCTGCTGCGCCTGCTGCTCCCCTCGGCAGTGTATTTCATCAGTCTGCCTTTTCTGTACCCCGCTCTGGCTCTGGTGAATTCTCTCACCCTCCCCCGCTTCTGACTGTACCCAGTGCTTGTATAAATAAATAAATAAATTTTAAATAAAATTTAAAAACAAAAAACAAACAAACAAAAAAAACCCTGAATTTCAAGACCATCCATGATAGAATAGCTCTCTGCTGGCAAGTCTGTCCTTCAGACATAACTGAAAAAGAAAACCACAACCACCCACCTGTGTATCTCATTAACCATCACCAACATGGTGATGACCATCATGTCTTTCTCCCTGAGGGGGTGCTTTGTTACTTCCTAAGGTTGTGGAGTCTTGACAGGTGAGGGGGGCCTGGATAGAGAAGCTGCCATTCCTGGAGGATGAACAGGGAGGGAAGGTTGCAGGCTTTGGTCTCCCCTGAGTCTTGCAGGGAAGCTCCTCAGTTAGTGTGAAATAACACGTTGCCTCCTGATTGAGCCCTGATCAGCCCCAGAGCCTTGTTCTGGCTCTAGCACGAGAAGTGGCAGAGCATGATAGCCCTGCCCTTTGGGGAGAGCTCCCCTGAGGCTGGAGAGAAATCTGCTGCTACCAGTGTACCCCTCAATTCTGAGCAGAGGTCTGGGAATCAGGCTCTGGGTTAGTAGTGGGGCTTGGTTTGATGATGCGAGAGAATCATTGGTAATGGATTCCCAGCTTGTTCATCCACCCTCCATCCAGCAGGTGACCATTAACTGGAAGGAGGTGGGTTCCTACTTCCCCACACTCTTCCCTCCCATTATCTTGATAAAGAGGATCCCAAACCTGAAGTCATGGCGCCACCTAACTTGGGCAACACCGAGCAACACTCATGGGAGAAAAGGGTAACTGAGAACAACATGGAGGAGGGTATCAGGGCTGAAGTCAAGATTTATGACTCAGACTGGATGAGAAAACAAACATTTCAGAGGAGCAATCATGAAAAACCTCAACGGAATTTGAGATTCTGAATTAAACCAAGAAAAGCAGGTTCAGGACATCAGAAAGATATCCAGGGGGAAAAGTATTCTTCACTCATTACACTGTGTGGACACGCATGGCTGATGGGTATTAACCTTGTGATGCTGTGCTTCTTACCTTGTGCTTTTTAAGTTTCAAATTTTTATTTATTTTTTATTAAATTATTTTATTTTCTTACATTATTGTTCATTTTTGTACAACATTTCATTTCTGCCCTCAGGTGTAGCCCCCATAAATCTCCCTCTTCCCCATCAGGCGTGAACCGTCACCATAGTGCCTTGTGCTCTTACCTCTACTGTTTTGGCCCCTCCTCCTGCCCCACCCCTGCTGTATGATCAGATCTATAGTTTACTGCAAGGCTTGTCTTTTTCTGATCGTCTGGTTGGTTCCCCTGCAGTCCTCCTGTAAGTGAAAACATATGATATTTATCTATTTGCTTCTGACTTATTTCACTGAGCATAAACCCTTCCACTCCAAAGATGCCACTGCCAGTTGCATGAGTTTATCTTCTTTGTTGCTGAGTAGTATTCCATTGTGTAAATATCACCATATCTTCTTGATGCAGTCATCTGCTTTTGAGCATTGGGTTGTTTCCAGATCTTAGCTATTGTGAATAGTAGCACCAAGAGATATTAAATGAGTAAAAGAAAGATCTCTAGATAATTATACTAGATTGGAGCAGGGGATGTAACAGTTTTCACCTACAGGTATCTAAGATTATGAAGGACACTCTGAAGCTCGTAGCAGAAACTGGCGAAAGAATAGGTGCTGGAAGAGAATCTATTTTGGTCTCTCTGTGATCTAACAGTTGAGCTCAGAGCTAAAGAAAGAGAGGCAAACAAGAGCAGAGGGAAGTGGTCTGGATGAGGGAGGTCCTGCTGCAGGCCACTGTTGGGAGACTTCACAATTAGTGGGAGCCAGTGGGTGACAGCCTGGTTAACCTGGATGAAGGTGAATAAAATATGGCTTGGAGGGAAGGAGATGTTAGAGGACGCAGCACCTAGAGATGCTCTAATGGGCTTGACTGTCCCTGAAAGGACCACAGGAGACCCGAGCCTGGATGCTCAGTGGCCTCCCCCGCTGACAGCAGATTAAAGATTTTGTGATGTGTACACGGCCCTTACCTGGGCACCAGTCCCGTGGGACCTTGGGTAGACTCAGGGCTGACTCTCACATGAGAATGGAAATGAAATGTGTCTCCAGGGCTTCAATCCTCTCATCCCCACCTCCCTCCAAAGCTCTGTCTTCAGTCAGGTGAGGGAGCCCACCTGCAAGGACATTACTCCATGACACCCTCCTGCGCTGGCCACAACAATCACCCAGCACCCCTGCTTCCTCGTGCCTGCTGAGGCAGCTCCGCTTTCCCCCTAATGGTGCTGACGTGGCTCCCGGTGTGGTGGTCACATCCCTGAGGACTGTTCTCAGCCCCAGGGCGTGGCTACTCCAGCCTCGCTGGAGAGAGGCCCCGTGCTGAGATCTATAACCTGGCCTTAACCAGACCGTCTAACTCGGGAACATGCAGATGTTTCTCTAATAGGACCAGACTCTGCTGTTTCCTTTACCCCGGCAGAGTACAGGGGCCTCTCCACTGTGTACATGAGAGAGTGTTCTGTGTCCTGTGTAATTTTAAAGCCATAAGCCAATACTTTCCTGCCATTTGAGGGCTCAACTGTGAGAATGTAAAGTCTGCACTCTCCCAGGTCTTGAGGAGGAGCCCAATTCAGAGTCATGTGAGGAGGCATCGCTTTCTCTCTGATCCTTCTCCTCCTCCCTTATATCTCCAGGAAACTGTTGGACCCACAGCCCAGCTACATGAAACAATACCGGACATCAAGGAAGAACCTCTATGTGGTGACAAAGTTGGTGGAGCTGTTCAACAGCCCTGTGCTGCGAGACATCAGCCGTGGGAGTGTTTCTGGAGGTGTCTCCTTCACTTGGAATTCTATCAAGGTACAGGGTGGGAGCTCCTCGAGCACAGCCAGCCCAGCCTCCCTCCCCAGGGCCTGAGCCTGCTCAGCCTCTGCCTCTGGGGGTTAGAAGGTGCACGTTGCTATTTCCACCCGCCATGTGCAGGGCCTGACTCCTGGCCGGAGACCGCGTCCTTACAGCCTCATTTTGGTGCTCCTCTGTGTGGGACCATTCAGTGATGACCTATAGGAAGTAGATCTAATAGTGGGATATGTTATCTTTTACATTTGGAGAGTGCTGGATCCTGGGGAATCTGAAGGTGGGGTTGCTCTACTGTACCCATGTTCAGTTTCATGCTGGAAGAAATGAGGCCCACCGTCTCCAAACCGCAGTGGTCAAAGTTCGTATGTGGTGTGATATCCTGATTGAAAAGACTTAACGAATATGATTTCTATATTCAAGCACACTAACATACATAGTGATTCCCAATGACCATGTATAACACTTTGACATAATAATATTAATCAAATGATTTTTTTTTATAATGTTATTTTCTAGGACATATGATTTTTGGGTAATTTGTGCTCACTTATCAGATTTAGAAAGTAAAGAAATAAAATCCCATGTTGTGAACTACTTTCCCAAATTCAGTGATATTTCCCTAGAAGAGTGTGAAGAAGCTTCACCCAGATCATTAAAAAAGTATCAAATTATTATTAGTTTACATATTTCAATGTGTGTGTATGCCTTACAGCACCCGCCAGCAAAGTTCTAGTGCCATCCCACTATCAAATTGACCTCCTCTGCCTTTTCCTTCTATCTCCTCACTCCCGCCCCAATTCTCCACAACCACCATATTTTTAAGAGTCGTTTTTACTGTATATTGTCATGTTTGCTTTGGTTGTTCATATTCCTCATATGAGCAACACTATTTGGTAATTGTTTTTTCCTTTCTGACTTACTTGCTTAGGGCAATCACCTTGAGTTGCACCCATGTTGCAATAAAATGCAAGTTTTCATCCTTTTAGAGCTGAGCAGTATTCCTTTGAGTGTGTCTACTACAACTTCTTGATCCACTCATCCAGTGATGGGCAGTTAGGTAGTTTCCGTGTCTTCATCATTATTAGTAATGCTGCTGTGAACATAGGGGTGCACAAAAATTTTCATATTAGTGCTTTCATATTCTTTGGCTAAATGCCTAGGAGTGGTATTTCTGCATCAGATCAAGGTCAAAAAGAAAGACAATGTGGTAAACTCAGTGGATACTTAGCACACAGATATCTAATAGCACATTCCTTGTTTTATTGTTTATCTTTAAAGTTGTATAATCTGGATCCTTCAATTAACAATGCATCCATGTATTCAAGAGCATTTTAAGATTGATAATGGAGATATGATACCCTGTGTCAAAACAATAGATAGCCTCATTCAATATGGTAATTTTTTGGCAACATTCTTATAAGCATAAGGTAGAAAATAATCATGGAGATTATCAGTGTTATTTACTAAACTTTTTTTGAGGGGGGAAATGATGAAGAATTGAGATGTTCAATAGAACCAATAATATGTAGAATATGAAGAATAAAAAGTCCCATTTACTTACCAAGTCTAGTTACGTATATCTAGATGTAACTTCTTTCAGAAATAAATGGATCTATATGGAAATAGTTTACTGAAATACAGGGAAATCCTGAATAAAGAAAAAATGAAATCATGTTCCTTCTACATAATTATATGTTAAGGAGGCCAATGTTATAGTAAAAAACAGGTTTAAATAATTTCAAACTATATACTATTTTCCTTTTACTCTGAGGAGAGAACTGATGTACTAATCTAAATCATGCGGAATAAAAAGCATATTAAAAGAATCTAACAGTGTTTTGTAAGAACACAAGAGCCTGGGAGAATTGTCTATCAAGTAATCATAGTGGACTTCTCAGAAGAAACCCTGCAGTCCAGAAGGAAGTAGGATGATATAGCCCAAGTGCTGAAGGGAATAAAAAACTGCCAACCAAGCACATTATATCTAGAAAAGGTTCCGTTAAAAAGAAAAAGAAATAAAGGATTTTATTTTAAAGGTAAATATATAGACAGATACAGAATTCTGTAATGCCGAAATATAATGTTGGTACCTACATCATCTTTATTTCTGGCATTGAACTAAATGTCAAGAGCATAAAATTTAATTATAACCATAAAACTGTTAATAGATATACAGTATAAAGACACATAAAGTTTGACATTATAAGTGGAGTGATAACCGTAAAGCAGTAACTTCTCTCCTCCCTGATAACCACTCATTTTACAGTCTCCACAGTGTTACCTTTTCCAAATCTCATACAGTTAAATCATACAGCACTTCCTTTTAATATTGATTTCTTTCATTCAATGATATGTATTAAAATTCCCCCATGCCTTTATGGTCTGTCTTTTTAGTGGTGAATAATATTCCAGGGTCTGAATACACCACTGTTTATCAATCCTATCTATCATAGGACATTTTGGTTGCTTCCAAGTTTTGCCACTTATGAATAAAGCTGATTCTAGACATCCATGTGGTGGTTTTTGAGAGGCAAATTTTCAATAACTTTTTAGTAACTAATAAAGAACATGCTAGATTTTATGGTGAGAGCAGTATGCTTAGTTTTGTAAGGAATCACCACACTGTCTTCCAAAGTGGATGCACCATTTTGCATTCTGACCACCAATGAATGGGAGTTTTACCCTGACCATGGTTCACATGGAGGTTTTTGCTCTGGTAAATTATGATCTTCTTCCCCTACTGTTCGGTCTCTCCAATTTTGAGGACATTGGGATTCTCTGCGATGTGAACTACTCTCCTGACAGATCTCAGAACAGTTGTTGGTGACTTTCTTTCTTTAGGTTTTTGCTTGTTTTTAGGGTGGATGATGACTGCCAGCCTCCTTTCCAGATCTCCTTGACTTTCAAAACCAAGTGTATATTTGACCATGTTCCTGGGCTTCTGCCCCCAGGGTGAAGGAAAAGGCAAGTACCAAAAGCAGAGTGATCTGGTGCTGAGTCTAAAGAAGGGCATGGTGATGGCCTACAAGAAGAAGCTGCTGGTTTTTGAGGATGACGGTTGGAGTAAGTAGAGGGTGAGGGATGCACATGGGTCAAGGGGTTGGGTGTGTTTCTGCTGGAAAGAGAAATGAGTGGAAAAGAACATCAATATGAAACCTGACTTCTCTGACTGTCAGCACCCTTTACCAACTGTCTGGAGCACACACATCGGGCCCCCTTCAAGGATGGCCTGATGAACTGTTGTTACAGGGATTCTGAGTCAGTGTGAAGAATGAAAAATGGGTGCTCAGCATGGGGTTGTGATTGGCACTGGGCAAGGTTGCCCTTGGGCAGACCATCTCTGATCCTTCAAGGTGACTTTTCTTAGCAACTCAACTGGGGAGCCCCAGGATCTCCCTCTATGGGGTTACCCACAACCCCCAAGTGAAAGCCTGCAAGACATCAGCAGAATCACAGACGTTGTAGACAAAAGCCAAACCACATAGGCAGGAATTTATCTGAATCTCTTCCTCCTTCATTAGCCTGAATGGACAGTCCCCAACACACTCACTTGGGTTCTGACACCACATGTGTGAACTGTTTGCATCAAAGAGCAGTGTGTAAACTGGGTGACATGAAGGCTGCAAACCACCAGCTCACATTCATTGGACTCTCCATTCCCTAATTGAAGTCCCATCTTCATGTTGGCCTGATGCAGCTGGGGGCAGATCCTGGGGATGTCCTCAATCCCCACCCCTTACTCCCCCCTAATTGCAGCATCTGGTCAGGGTCAGGTCCTGCTGTCAATTACCCCCTGTCAGTGACTTTGTATAGAAAGGCTTGAGCTGTCCGGTCTTGCAGGGTCAGTGTCTTTTGCTTCTGGAGAAAGTCCAGCCCTCCCCAGAGCAAGGCCCTCCTGAGGGCTAGAGAGGAGGGTGGTGTCCCCAGTGTAGAGGAGGTCAGAGACCCCTGCAGAGGCAGCGGGAGATGATTGTGCTTTATGGTCATGGCATATGACAAAGTGCCACATCTTCAGGGAGGGAGGAGGAAGAAGGCCCATCATCAAACAGGTTTTGTAAGTGCAGAGAATGAGCTGAGAGAAGCTAAAGGCCCCCACAGGAGCGCTGAGGCATGGACAGCCCATGAGGGGGCGGGGCCAGCTGCTGTTGCACAGCTTCATGCTGATGAGCAAGGGAAGGCGCCTTCACCATGTGCAGGGGAGGTGGACACCGGCTCACTGATCTGATTTCATCCCTACAAGAAATCAGAGAGGAAAATAAAGTGCAGCCAGTTCAGTAATTTGCAAATATTTGCTGTGAGACTGTGGAGAACATCAGACTCTCTGGGGCCGGCTTCTCTCTAACTCGGAAATGAGACCTGCTCTGCAGAGTGGGGGGAGTTAGAGAGGAGTGTCTGGCACAGAGCGGTCTCTGCCCCCAGCCTCCTGCAGCCTCCCAGGACCTGATCAGGGGCTCAGGTTCCTGCCTTCTCACAGCCCCTCACCCAAGGGCCCTCCAGTTATCCCCCCTGCCGCCAGCCACTTCCCCTCACAGCCAAGCCCGGAAAGAATCTCCACACTCTGTGTCCTCCCCTCCCGGCCTCGCTGCCTCCACCCGCTGCAGTTCACCCCGGAGATCACGTCTTGGCAGGGCCTGCTTGGATGCTCCTCTCCCTGGATGCTGTGACATGATTTCTGGGCTCCTTTCCTGGGCTGTCTCCGTTCTGTGTCTGTTGTGGGCTCAGTCCTTTGTGATCACTTACTCTTTGGTGGAGGCAAGTCTCAGGCCTCTGGACATTTCTCTACAAAACCACCCGGGAAGCTGGCAGGGTGGGGGAGCACAGGAGAGAGGAGACTAAGGAAAGAGACCTGGCAGATGGGGCAACCCTGCAAGGGGTTGGGGGGAGCAGATCCTCCCCTCCACAGGCAGGTCTCTGGTGGAGCGAGTGGCACCCATGGGTGCAGATCCCAGGGTCTTCTCAGCGTCAGACCCAGAAGGTCCAGAGTGAGGTCAGGGGCTCTGAGTTGTAAGAAGCACCCCAGTGCCTCTGATTAAGGGGTTTCCAGATCCCTCTGAGAAGAGCTGGCCACACTGGTCTGCAGGAGCAGAGCTGGGCAATAGGTTTGGGGTGGGGAAGCCTCCAGCAGGGTGACCTGGCTCTCCTGACCTGGCTTCTTTTCCTTTCAGATGTTCTTGATGACTCAGATGATACGAGGAAAAGCTTTCCAGAAGGTGAGTTCCCAAATGGGCATGTTTGACTTGACCTTGACCCAGTGGCCCAGAGATACTGAGGGTGCTCACCAGAGCCTCAGGGGCTCAGTCCCCTCCCCACAGTAAACCAGCCCCTCCTGCACAGCCTGCCAGCTCCCTTGTTTTCACTAGCAGGACCCTGGAAAACACATAAAAAACAGCTTTTCCATTTAACAGTGGGATGTCACCTGTGTGTGTGTGTGTGAGTGTGTGTGTGTTTCTGTGACTAACTCTTGGTGAGTGAGGCCTTCTTTTTTATCTTTCCAGTGAAGTTTAGTAATCGGTCATTAGGGAAGTGATTTTTTTTTTTTAAGATTTCACTTATTTATCATACAAGAACTGGGGTACAGGCCAGAGGGGTGGGGTTAGTTGTTTTTGTGCCAGGAGAGCGGGATCTGATCCCCCGGGACTCAACTCTACACAGCAGAACCCCCACATGCTTGCAGTGGGCTCCTTCCCAGGGCTATGGGATCTGGTCCCCTGGGTGATGGGCAGCAGCAGGTAGAGAGGAGGGGGTGGGGATGCAGGGGAAGAAGAGCAGGAAAAACCCTCCACAGTGTCTCAAAAGTAAATTTGAGCATGTATAAAAGACATGACGTCTTGTGATTCTCTTTCCAGAAATAACAGAGAAATTCTTCAAGCTAGGTGAGTGTTTATCAAGCGGGAACCTGGGCTTCTGGGTGGAAACTCACAGGCTGACACCCCTGGAGCTTCCCTGCCACTCGGACAACCAGATTCTCCCCCATGTGCACATTGTCACATCCCTCATCTGTTCATCCATCCTCCCTCATCCACACTCAGTCCCGCCACCCTGATGAGGCTGTGTCGGAAAACAGGCACTGATCTCAGTGCAGGGACTCTGGGGTTCAGCAGTGAACCCCGAGACAGTAATGCTGCCTCTTTGGAGCTTCCTCTCGTGTGAACTCTCACCTCAGCAGGTCTCTTTGATGGCCCCTCAGGTGCTCTGGGAGAGGTGAATTCCTTCTAGACTCAGAAGACACAGACACAAGTGTGATCTGTAGGGAGCGGTGTGTGCCTGGTGCTGCTGCATGTGCTTCACATACTTGACACCCCGGTGATTGTTACCACTGCCTCATTTATTTATTTAATTTTAATTTTTTAAAGATTTATTTATTTGTGCCTGCAGGAACTGGGGTACAGGCCAGAGGTGCGGGGTTAGTTGTTTTTGTGCCAGGAGAGTGGGATCTGATCCCCCGGGACTCAACTCTGCACAGCAGAACCCCCACATGCTTGCAGTGGCCTCCTTCCCAGGGCACTGGGATCTGGTCCCCTGGGTGATGGGCAGCAGCAGGTAGAGAGGAGGGGTGGGGAAGCAGGGGCAGAAGAGCAGGAAAAACCCTCCACAGTGTCTCAAAAGTAAATTTGAGCATGTATAAAAGACATGACGTCTTGTGATTCTCTTTCCAGTAATAACAGAGGAACCCTTCAGGCAAGGTGAGTGTTTACGGAGAGGGAACCTGGGCTTCTGGGTGGAAACTGACAGGCTGACACCCCTGGAGCTTCCCTGCCACAGAGACAACCAGATTCTCCTCCATGCACACATTGTCACATCCCTCATCTGTTCATCCACCCTCCCTCATCCACACTCAGTCCCGCCACCCTGATGAGGCTGTGTCGGAAACAGGCACTGATATCGGCACAGGGACTCTGGGGTTCAGCAGTGAACCCCGAGACAGTAATGCTGCCTCTTTGGAACTTCCTCTCGTGTGAACTCTCACCTCAGCAGGTCTATTTGATGGCCCCGCAGGTGCTCTGGGAGAGGTTAATTCCTTCTAGACTCAGAAGACACAGACACAAGTGTGATCTGTAGGGTGCGGTGTGTGCCTGGTACTGCTGCATGTGCTTCACATACTTGACACCCCGGTGATTGTCACCACAGTCTCATTTATTTATTTTATTTTATTTTTTTAAAAGATTTATTTATTTATGCATACAGGAACTGGGGTACAGCCCAGAGGTATGGGGTTAGTTGTTTTTTGTGCCAGGAGAGTGGGATCTGATCCCTCAGGACACAACTCTGTACAACAGAACCCCCACATGCTTGCAGTGGCCTCCTTCCCAGGGCGCTGGGATCTGGTCCCCTGGGTGATGGGCAGCAGCAGGTAGAGAGGAGGGGTGGGGAAGCAGGGGCAGAAGAGCAGAAAAACCTCGTATCTTTGAACTAATTCTTGGGCTGGGAATTTAATTTCTCTTCTAGAAATGTGGTATCGTCCTGTAAGTCCCATCCCCCCCATAGGTGAGTGTGTGGTGGGGTTGGGGGAGGAATCCTTCCTGCCACAATCATCTGCGCCCGGCAGTTGCCCCTGCCTTTGGCACCACTGCCCTGGGCCTGGCCCAGCACTCTGTCCAGGGGGTTCCTGGGGCTGAGGGTGGGGAGGGTGGGCCTGATGGGCAGGAAGAGGTGCTGCAGGAGGGAGGCAGGGTCGGAGGGAGAGCAAACCCTCCACAGTGTCTCAAAAGTAAATTTGAGAATGCATAAAAGACATGATGGCTTGTGTTTCTCTTTCCAGGAAGCATAGAGGAACCCTTCGGGAAAAGTGAGTGTTTATCAAGAGGGAACCTGGGCTTCTGGGGGGAAACTGACAGGCTGACACCCCTGGAGCTTCCCTGCCACTCAGACAACTGGATTCTCCTCCATGTGCACATTGTCACATCCCTCATCTGTTCATCCATCCTCCCTCATCCACACTCAGTCCCGCCACCCTGATGAGGCTGTGTCAGAAAACAGGCACTGATCTGGGCACCAGGGTCTTGTGGGTGGACCCTCAGGTGCTCTGGGAGAGGTTAATTCCTTCTAAACTCAGAGGACACAGTCAAAAGTGTTATCTGTAGGGTGAGGAGTGTGCCTGGTGCTGCTGCATGTGCTTCACATACACGATCCCCGTGATTGTCACCACAGCCTCATTTTACTTATTTTATTTTAATTTTTAAAGATTTATTTATTTATGCATACAGGAACTGGGGTGTGTGTGGGGAGGTGAGTGGTTTCACCAGAGACAGAGTGGGAAGCAGAACAGCGGATCTACTGAAATACACTGCTGAGGGGAGCAGCGGGCGAGTCGGGAGAGGTCTGCTGCACCATGTGGGTAGCTCCCTGGCTGGCCAGGGATGGAACTCATGCTGCAGAGTCTGTGGACAGCTTCACAGTGCTGTGCTAACCCCTTCCACCACAAGGAAGATGCCACAGCCTCATTTTAGATGTGGAAACCGAGTCCAGAGCAAGGAAGATTCTCATCTCTACAGCCCAAGGCTGGAATCCTCATTATTCCAGAAAGATCCCATAAAGGGCTCCTTGCACATTTCTTACATATCCCAAGACACCTTTAAGAGTCTCCATCTCTGCTCCCAGTGTCTGCCCCCTCATTTCAGCTATGTCCTCATCTTTTTAGCCTATTTTGACACGTGCATCCCCAGAGCTCAAACACATCACACACAGAGATGCTTCTTGTAGCAGCTTGAAAACACATGAGTTTTGCTCACATTAATGGGGACAGGATTATCCCTGAAATTTTTGAACTTAGGAGTTATTTCCATGTCCTGGATGACAGATTTCGAGTGCATGAAAGAAGAGATTTCCAGCAGAGTGGAGATGGTGGCTTTACTGTCAAGGAACATTCAGAGCATCATATTTGTTAATATCCAAGCTATGCTGGGGGACCGACGGGCTCTGCAGGACCTCATGGACACGGTGAGGGGGCCCCACAGCTGTCTGGGGCTGATCAAACCTGCAAATGGTGTATGTTCAGGAGATATGGCTGCCCAGAAGGAGACAGGGGGAAGGAGACTGTGAGTAATTGTAGGGAATTAGAGGGCCAGGTTTATGCTGCCCACATAGTGCAGGTTCTCGGTATCCCTTGGGGGTTAGAGAAAGACATTAAACCAATTTTTGGTAAATTACTTATAGATCATAACTTATAGGCAAAATTGTATGACAATATCATCATCATCATCATCATCATTCTTGCCTTTTGCAGCTTGACCAGGAGAAGCCCTTGGATCATTTGACTGGCCCTGGTGCCACCATCCTGGATGAGATGGGAAAGATCTCAGGGTACCCACATTTTGCCCAAGTAGACTTCATCCTTTACCTACTTGAAGCCATAACAGGTGAAAGTGATTTAAGGGGCTGTGGGAGAGCCTCAGGGTTGGTGCCCAAAACCCCATAAAGGACTTTGTTAGCTGCCCCCTCTCCAAAGAACTTTGATGAATATGGTTTTCATCCTCAAAGTGGTCCTCACTCAGAGGGGCCCATGAGGTAAAGTAACATGAAACTTGACCTAGACAGACCAGCCCAAGTTCATCCCCCTTCTCATGGGGTGGTGGTTCCAGCTTCCAACCTCAGAATCCCACCCTCGGGACTATGTGCTGTAGCACCTTGGAGACCATCCCCAAAGCAGAAGGAAGACTCAGAGGACAGGAATTGAACTAATAAAAACTTAGTGGGTTTTATACTTCTGCCTGGAGTTCTGCTTCTGGGTTGTTTTTTTAGGTATATTTTTTAAAATATTTTATTTTTTTATGGACACAAGAGCTTGGGTGCAGGTCAGAGGTGTGGGGAGAGGGCTGAGAAAATTCACCAGAGACAGATTGGGGCTCAGAACAGGTGGATCGACTGAAATACACTGCTGAGGGGAGCAGCGGGCGAGACAGGAGAGGTCTGCTCTGCCATGTGAGTCAGCTCCTTGGCTGGGGACCAAATTTGCCATGGTGGTGATAACCCTGAGACTTAACTCCTAGGCCACCAGGGGGGCCCCCCTCATGGGGTTTCTTAGTTCACGCTGTTGGGGGGTATTTGACTCCTCACTCTTTTCCCAAACACCCTCTGTCCCCAGTGCTGAGTGACACCCAACATGCTCTGCTGGCCCAGTCCATGGAGAAGAGGATCCTGCCCCATCAGCGGGAGCTGGTGAGAAATCCCTGGGGCCAGCATCCACGGGGACAGGGGGAGGAAGGCAGAGAGAAGAGTGACTCTGAGGAAAGAGAGATGCAGTTTCTGCTGGGAGGGGAGACCCCATCCCAGTGTGGCCACTGGGAAATCCTGCTCATGTCCTTCTGGAGAACAGGCCCAGTGGGTGTGCAGGTCTCAGTTTCCATGGTAACCACCGCAGAGGCCTCAGAGTTCTAAAACAGTCGAACAGGGATAGAAGTTTAGGAGCTCAGGGCTATGAGGAACACCCCCGCCTGACTTACATAGTTCCCATTTAAATTGCTTTTCTGTCTGCGTGTATGTATGTATGAGTCCACAGGAGTGTGTAGAGTTATACATATATTCACACACTGCACACATGTACACACGCACCTACAATTCCTAATACCTTTGTTGTGTTAGTATGTTAGTCTCACCAGTTAGCAACCCAGGAACCCATGATCAGTAATTTCCAGTAACATGTGTGCAAGATCACATTGAGCACAAGAAGGGACCAGAATGGAGTCCTGTCCCCATAACCAGAACTTTCTTTCCTCCATCACCCTGTGTCACTCTTCAATGTTGGGACAGAAGTTTTCCTTTTCTCTGCTCAAAGGCTGACCTGTGACTTTACGCCATTACTTCTAGGTACGGAGCATCCTGGAGCCCAACTTCAAGTACCCCTGGTGCATTCCCTTCTCCCTGGACTCCCAACTCCTCGCTCTCCTTCAGGATGAGGGTGTGGCCATCACCTATGGGCTGCTGCAGGAGTGTGGGCTGAGGATGGAGCTGAATAACCCCAGGTCCACCTGGGATCTGGAAGCCAAGGAGCCCCTCTCTGCCCTTTATGCAGCCCTATGTCTGCTGCAGCAACTGAGTGAGGCCTGAGTACCCCTGGGGTGCAGCAAGTCCAGGGAGGTCAGCCTCACCCACCTGTGCGGTGGTGTCCTTGTGGGCTCAGGAGTTAGGGTCCCACCTCTCTGCCTTTCACGGTGGGACCAACAGGGACTTGAGGGAACATTTTGGGGTGATAGAAAATCTTACTTGCTCAGAAGTCATTATTGGTCAAAACTCACCATAGTGTCCTGAGGAATGGAGCATTTCACTGTATGTAAATTTTACTTTGAAACTGTGTAAACAGATGTTGAGTTTTAGTGAATATGAATTGTGAAGTGGTTCCAGTGAATTGTGTTGATATCTATAACTTACTTTGAAATGCATCAAAAAATCAGGTGTAGGGGTCTCCCTGGTAGCCTAGGGGCTAAGTTTCAGCGCCATCAGCTCTGTGGGCTCAGTTCGATCCCTGGCCAGGGTGGTAACCCACGTGGTGCTCCAGACCTCTCCTGTCTCCCCTCAGCAGTGCATTTCAGTTGATCCGCCTGTTCTGCTCTCCACTCTGTCTCTGGTGAATCTTCTCACCCCTTCACACCCCTGGTCTACATCCCATTTTCCTTTGCCCAAATAAATAAATGATTATTTTTAAAAAAAACACGTCTATTGATTCCGGTAGGAAGAGATCTGTGACCAGGAAATGTGGAACGTGTTGATGACACGGGACCATGGCTGTAAGATAGACTAGAATTCTCTTTTATTCTTGATATATTTTGTAAGCCAGAAATTGTTTTGAATAAAAACTTACCCCTTAAGTTGTGTGAAAAAGTAAATATACACATAAAGGAATGAGATGAGTGTATGTTATGAGTGTATGTGCACACGGGTATCGTGTATATATGTTCATGTCTATGAATATATGTAAACATACGTAAAGATACAGATACACTCCTGCTATGAATGTATCTCTGCATGTACATGCATCAACACAGAAGTGGAGACATATGTTATGTGTCATGTGTACGTGTATGTGTGTGTATCATTGAGCACTTACACAATCACTAACGTCACCTTAAAGAACAGGGTCCCGATCCCGCCAGCTCTCTGGAGTCCCTATTTGCCTCTTTTGTGTGACCCCCAGGCTCCTTGTCGCTTTTCTAATTCTCCTCCCCACCTGAGCTGCCACCAGGAAGTCCACCTGGATCCTCCCTCTCCTTAACCCCACCTGCTCCTCAGGTGAACTGTTGCCTCATCCCTCCTCACCTGGATGGGCTCAGGGGCCCTGAGAACTGCTGGCCCCTCCACCAGTCTCCTTCTCTTCAGGTCCCCTCCGAGGCTGGGGTCTGGAATCGCAGCAGCCACGGGTGCTTAATGCAGCCCCTCCAGTCCCTCAGGGGCTCGGCACAATCACCGGGGCCCCCTCCACGTGACAGCAAGGGGAGGAGCCCCACGAGTTCACCCCGGCTTCTCCACCCTCCCCACTGCTCCTGCCTGTCCCCATTCTCAGAGTTGATTTCCTCCCCACTGGCAAAGGTGAGGGACCAGGGCTTCTCCCATTGGCCTCTCGTTCTCTCTGCTGTTCACCAAGACCTTATTATTGGTGAATCGCCAAGGACTGTGACCGTGTCCCCACGTGGTTTGCTGCCCGTTCTTTATTCAGGCGGACCCTGTGCTGACACCAGTCATTGTATTATTTCATCTATGGATGACCGAGTTCTGTGGCCCATCAATTTTCTCAAGAGGCTCATTCCCTGAGCATCTTCACCCTAGAGAATCGCTGCCTCTTGTCTTTACAGGGACGCACACCTTGGGGTGAGGTGACTTTCTTAGGTAGTGCCTTCTCCTCTTCAGTCTTTTGTGACATTGCAGACATTCAAATGGCTCCAGGTGCTGATGGGTGCTGTGAAAGATGAAGTCACTCAAGTGTTCTTCCTTCTTCAAATGAATTTCCTTTTGCAAATGCCTGCCTAGAGAGTTCTTTCTTCACCCCTGATATCACACACTTTTCCCAAGCTGTGCCTGTGCGTCAACCACGGGCTGTGACTTTTCCTGGGACACCATGTGTTTTGAGCTGTGAGCCGGTGCTTTCATTTCAAGAAACATCCTCACCTAAGTGACTATGTTCTGGATTCTATTTTCCATCCTCTCCGTATCGCACCTGCTTTTCTTCATTTAGGGTCTTCCATATGTCTGTTCCATCTTGTCCCATGTGTACACCTTTGCTTTTTCATCGTCTCTCTGAGTCATCACAGGTCTTGTTCAGCTCTCAATGGTCATCACTCAGTTTAGAGGTTGGGTTGTTTGAGCCCCATCTTGTTTCCTCAGCTTTGCAATCTCCCTTTGCATGTAATTCTATTAGTTCATCTTCCCATTGTTGAAGCGTTGCCATGTGAAGTAATATCTCACAAACTTACTCTAGACCATGAAACAATGATGATGTGCCATGTTTTTGTCACATCCTGTTGGGCCGTGTGATCTCTTCAAATTGGGTATTTCACTCTCTCCACTTTCCTCTAGTGTGTCTGCATGGAATCTCCGACATCTTTGTTTTTTATTTTCCGTGTTACTCATTACCAACATGGGCGCTCTGGCCGAACACTGTGTATGAACAAAGACATTGGTAGGGTTGGTGAGTTTGCTTTCTCTCCCCCTCGTGCATCACTTTAATTGAGACCTGTTTTTCTTCACTTTAACTGAGACCTGAAAACTGTTGTGAATAATATGTCTTCTGAACCTAAGGTCACAGGCTAAGGTCACAGACTTGGAGGGTGAAGGGCTAACCTGGGCTCTAAGCTATATATGTTTGATCCGGATCCATACCATCTCGTGATTTTCTAAAATCTTGGACTTTATGTATGGATTCTCTCCCTTCATCCATCAAGGGCCATTGTCCTTACACAAATGACTTCTGATACCATCTCCCTGCACACCCGGGCCCTTTTGTCCAATACTGTGATGATTGGATTGTGGAATCTTAGACCCATGTGAATTGAGGTCAGACTGTAACTGGATCACCTCCATTTTGTAACAGAAACCTCTAGAGCAAATCCTGGGACTCAATGAACTAAACTTTAAGCAATCTTTGTTCTCGTTCCCCTCTATTACCTCCCTGTGATTATTCTTCAAGTTTCAACTAATACATTTCTTTTCAATGGCATTTCCTGGGTCTCATAAAGCTGATTGTTACGCCTCTAAGAAAAACCTCTTTGCTCCTTGGAGGTTGTGAGAATATAAAAAACAAATAACTCCTGACTGTTGCCTGATCTTGACCCTGAGGAGACACTCCCTGCTGAGAGTGTCAGACCCCAATCCCCATGATGCCTGGACTGCCCAACCTTGGACCTGGAAATGTGCAGCTCCCCACTTCACATCCTGAACCCCCTCCCTTCTGCCCACCTCCCCACTTCACATCCTGCGCCCCCTCCCTCTCGACCCCCCTTATATAATCACAGACACCTGGCACTTGGGGAGCTGGGTGTCAGGTTCCTAATCCCACTGAGTGCCTTGGTGGCCACCCTGAACCAGCTCCTCTGTGAAGAGACAAATCCTGGCTCTGAGTTTGACCATCTGGGTGATGAGCCACTGACCGGTTTGCTTGCTCACAGGCTTCATGTCTCCCCCACACTAGGGGGAGTGGAGCTGACTGTTTTGGGATCTTCCTTGCTGGGGACCTTCATTCAATGTGGGCTCCATGTAGCCAGCCCAGGATCCCTCAGCGGCTCTAGCTCCTGTCCTGGCCTCCCCATCACCTGCTTCAGGTCCCTCATCTCCTGATCACAACTGTCAGACCCCCCTGCTGAGACTCGGGCCTTGTCTCCCCACTCTTCCCATGTCCGCAGAGCTGCGTTGGGTAGCACAGGTCTTTCCTGGAAGCAACATCTGCTGACTCCACAGACAGGAGAGTCAAGTCTCGTCCAATCCACTCCATTAACAGGGAGTAGTTGCAGGTGGACCCCTCCTTAACCAGGTGAAGCACTGAGGGCACTACAGGTTGTGTGTGTGTGTTTGTGTGTGTGTGTGTGTTTGTGTTTGTGTGTCTCCACACATGTGTGCGTGTCTCCACACACGCGTGCACACAGCCTCTCTGAGAGGCTGCGCCCAAATGTCCCAGGCTGGTCTCCAGCTGAGACTCAACATCACGGAAGGGAGAGCCCAAGGACTCTGGCTGGCTTTTCAGGGCTCTCTGTTCCCCCCGGGTACGCAGTCACAGATTCTCCCGAGGAGTCCATACCCACAGTGTGGGTGTTGAGGTAACCATGCATTTTGAAGCTAGTGAGAGACAAATGTAGATAAAGCCTGCATTGTGTTATAAGGCATCACATCTGCAGTTTTGGTTGAGGCTGTGCCGAAATCTCATGCGCTCCTTTGTGGCACTGCGGGGTAACCTGGGGAGGGCTCTGCAGCCCTCCAGGGGAGCTGCTAAGAGGGGTGGTGTAGAGTCAGGAACAGGACACTGTGCAGGTTTTCTGATCCAGCAGACCAGGTAAAGGAGGAGTTAGAGTCCTCAGTGGTTTTTTGCAGGCTTTTATTGGGGTTCACCAGGCATACGGCAGGCAGGGGTCCTGGGGGGCCGGGAGGCTGGCAGTCCTCCCAGCCCCCAGCAAATCCTCACTCTCTCTGGGCTCTCCGGTGATCTCTGCTTCTGCTTCTTTACTTCTCTCTCGGCTTTTCTCTCGGCTTCTCTTTCGGCTTCTTTTTCGGCTTCTATTGCCGCCCTCAAAAGCACAGTCTTAGCCCAGGTGAATCCCTTCTACCTCGGCCCACACCCTACTCCAGGTGCCCGCCATCAGGCATGCATTCAGGTCCGCAAGGATCCATCGTCTATCCTGATGGCGGGAGGGCAGAAAAGCCTGATACCTTTTACCTTACCCTACAGGTGGCTTTGGAAGAAACAAAGGCTGTTGGATTTAGGGACATGCTTTTTCTAGTGCTGAGGCCCCCTCCCCGTTGGGCACCCTTCCACCCTCTCTCCTGTCTCCCCGTGCCAACATTCCAGTCTGGCCAGCTCTGAAGGTGACTGAGTGTGGGTGGTGGCTGTGAGTGTCCCAACAGCAGAGGACAGCTCTTCTCTCAAGGACAGGTGCTATTTCATTG